CTCTCGGGCCTGTTTTGGGCACTCGTGGGCTGCCCTGGGCGCTTCTTGGGCCAGCCTTGGGTGTTCGGTACGCGGTCCCTCGCTTGGGCCCTTCTTGGGTTTGGTTTGGAGCCCTCTTGGCCTGTCATGAGCGCTTCTTGGGCCAGCCTTGGACTCTCCGGGGCCGCCTTGGGTTTGTCTTGGGGGCCTCTGGGGCTGCTTGGGGGAAAACCTGGAAACCTCCTGGGCCGTCTTGAAGCGTCGTACAACCGAAAAAAAACATAAGCAAACATCCGTCCGAAACCCGATGTTTTTATTTTTGTATTATTATATATATATATAACAAAACAAAACAAAACAAAACAAACCAAAATCAATGTTGGCCTCCCGGGGCTCTCTGGGGAGTGTTCCTGGAAGCGTCCGGAAACATGTTGCAGGCCCCCCGAAAGCTCTACCACGCGCTTCGGCGACATGGGTCGAAGATGGAAACCATTCCTGGTGCTGAAACAGCATCAGGGTCCGTCCAGAGCCGCTCGGGAGACGCCGTGGAGCGGCCCTGGAGAGGCCCGGGGGGGGGGTCCCACCACGGCGAGTCGAGGCACCTGGCCAAAGGCCCCCGGCCCCGTACCCCGACAGATATATAAATCTATACGAATGTGAATGGTTCACGCATGCCTGACCCTGGGCACCCGCGACATTGAGCGCGGCCGCCGCGGGAAGCAACCCCGACAGCAGATCCCGCGCGCCGCGACGCCCATGTCGGCGCGTTCCTCACGAGGATCTCGCCCGCTCCCTTCCCGTTCTTCTTCTTCTTCTCCCCCTTTGCCCGCGCACGCCCATGTCCAAGGCTGCGGGCGCGGCGCCGCGCGCAGCCCCCGCGACGCGCGTCGGTCGCCGAGGAGGGGCCCCGGCGACGCGCGCGGGTCGTCCGCTGCGCGGAGCAGAGAGAGCTAGCTGGCTGGCTGATAGCGGGCAAGGCTGCGGCCGCCGGGCAGAGCGACGGCGGGGGCGAGCTAGGCTCTGGACAGAGCGCAGCGCGGCGTTCCCGCGACGCGCGCAGATCGCACCGAGAGCGCCCCAGCGACGCGCGCGGGTCGCCCGCGGCGCGAGGCCAAACAGTCAGACCGTCGAGAGACGGCGAGGCTCGGGCGGGCCGCTCCTCAGGTCAAGCCTCGCGGATAAACTCTGCGAAGCTCAGCTCCCTGGCGAGGGCCGCCGCCTCCCTCCTGCACCGCTTCGCGCGCGTGGCAAACTGCTCCAGCTGCTTCCGCAAGCCCTCCGGCGGCCCTTGCCAGGAAGAACTCGATGCGCGGCGCCCGCATGAGCAGGCGGTCCTCGTGGCGCGCGGCGCGCGAGAGCAGCACGGAGAGCTCCAGCCACCAGTCGTCATCCTCCTTCTTGCCGTTCCCCACCTCGTGGCGGCCGCAATCCAAGATCACGCCTGGGCGATGTCGGCCGAGGGAGCAGCGCGCCGGACAGCCGACGGCTCAGGGCGGCGGCGCTATGCGAACTGCGCCACTGGGACCTTCGGTGGAGCTCCCTGTGGGGTCACGAAACGTGTGAGGGGTGTGCCAAAATTGGGCGGCGGCGCCATGCGAACTGCGCCACTGGGACCTCAGGTGGGGCTCCCTATGGGGCCACGAAACGTGTGAGGGATGTGCCAAAACGAGGCGGCGGCGCCATGCAAACTGCGCCAGTGGGACCTTAGGTGGAACTCCCTGTGGGGCCACGAAACATGTGAGGGATGTCCCAAACCGGGGCGGCGGCGCCATGCGAACTGCGCCACTGGGACCTTACGCGGAGCTCCCTGTGGGGTCACGAAACGAGTGAGGAGTGTGCCAAAATGGGGCGGCGGTGCCATGCAAACCGCGCCACTGGAACCTTAGCTGGAGCTCCCTCTGGGGTCACGAAACGTGTGAGGGGTGTGCCAAAAAAATGGAGCGACGGCGCCATGCGAACTGCGCCAGTGGGACCTTAAGTGGAACTCCCTACGGGGCCACGAAACGTGTGAGGGGTGTGTCCACATGGGGCGGCGGCGCCATGCGAACTGTGCCACTGGGACCTTAGGTGGAGCTCCCTCTAGGGCCAGGAAACGCGTGAAAGGTATGTCAGAATGAGGCGGCGGGGCCATGCGAACTGCCATTGCGACCTTAGGTTGAGCTCCCTATGGGGTCACGAAACGTGTGAGGGATGTGCAAAAAATGGGGCGGCGGCGCCATGCGAACTGCGCCACTGAGATTTTAGGTGGAACCCCATATGGGGCCACGAAACGTGTGAGGGGTGTGCCCATATGGGGCGGCAGCACCATGCGAACTGCGCCACTGGGACCTCCGGTGGAGCTCCCTTTGGGGCCACGAAACGTGTGAGGGGTGTGCCAAAGTGGGGCGGCGGCGCCATGCGAACTGCGCCACTGGGACCTTCGGTGGAGCTCCCTTTGGGGCCGTGAAACGTGTGAGGGGTGTACCGAAACAGAGACATTATGAAGGCAGGGGCAAAGACTGGGAGAAGGGAGGAGGGGGAGCAGGGAGGAGGAGGAAGAGGAGGAGGAGAAAAGGAGGCGGGAGGGCGGGAAGGAGGAAGGAACGCGGGGCGCTGTCTCTTCAAAACGAGGACCCAACTCCACAGGATGGTTGGGAACAAGACGGACTCCGCCAGAAATGTTCTGAGAACATTTCGTGGAAGCAACAAAAACTTCTTTAAACACTGTTTGGTAGGGCTATAGTTAGGTCGGGCCTGTCCCCCTACAAGGGGATTTTCGACGAAAAAAAAGAACATACCCCAAAAAAATCCCCAAAATGATCAAAAAGTGCTCAAAAAATAATCCCCAAACTATTGTTAACTATTTTTTGTGCATTTTGGGGGTATTTTTTATTTTCCGTCGAAAATCCCCCTGTAGGGGGACGGGCCCAACTTAAGGCTATAGGCGAGCCAAGACGCTCCGTCAGAAATGTTCTAAGAACATTTCGTGGACCGCCAGAAATGTTCTAAGAACATTTCGTGGAAATTGGTAGGGCTATAGGCGAGCTCAAGGGGAGGCTCTTCCCTTGAGCTCTGCGACCAGTTCTAACAAAACTTCTAAGAACATGACTTGTTAAGGCTATAGGCGAGCCAAGACTAAAACAAGGCTAAGATCGGGATAAATCGCTCCAGAGCGTTCCGGAGCGCTCTCAGAGCGTTCCGGAACGCTCTGGAGCGGCCGCGGCGCCCAAAACATCCTCCAAACCCGCCGACTCTCAGAGATTTCGAGTTGTCCCGATCCGATTTTGTCCCGATCTTCGCGTCGTTTGAAAGACGCTTCGCCGCTGCTTGCATCGCCCCGCACCTCCGGGGTCGGGCCCCGCACGTGGCCGGCGAGCGCCGCGAGGTCCAGGCGGCGGAGCGCCTCGGCCCCGAGGTCCTCGGGGCGCACGAAGCCGCCGGGGCCCTCCTCGATGGGCCTGGTTTCCACCACCACCGCCTTCAGTTGGAGGGGGGAAGGAGGAGGAGGAGAAGGAGCAGGAGGAGAAGGAGGTGGAGGAGGAGGAGGAGGGGAAGGAGGAGGAGGAGGAGGGGGAAGGGGAGGAGGAGGAGGTAGGAGGAGGGAGGAGGACGAGGGGAGGAGGGAGAGGAGGAGGATGAGGAGGAGGAGGGAGGAGGCGGAGGAGGGAGGAAGGAGGAGGAGAAGGAGGAGGAGGAAAGGAGAGGAGGAGGGAGGAGATGGAGGAGGAGGGGGAGGAGGGCAGGGAGGAGGAGGAGAGGAGGAGGTAGGAGGAGGAGTGAGGAGGAGGAGGAGGACCCCCTCCCCATCCAACTTATGGTGGTGGTGAAAAGAAAAGAGACCCATCACTCCTCGCGCCCGCCCTCGGAGGCGGGCGGCCGGAGGAGCCAGCCCTCGCCGGGCGGGAGCTCCGAGTCGCACCTTCGGGCGGCGGAGGAGGAGGAGGAGGAGGAGTGAGGGGGGAGGGAGAGGGGAGGAGGAGAGGAGGAGGAGGGGAGGAGGAGGAGGAGGAGGGTGGTGGGGGATGAGGGGAGGAGGTGGAGGGGGGAGAGGGAGGGAGGGTGGGGGGGGAGGAGGTTGGGAGGAGGAAGGAGGGGGTGGTGGGGGAGGTGGAGGAGGGAGGTGGGGAGGGGGAGGAGGAGGAGGAGGAGGAGGAGGAGGAGGAGGAGGAGGAGGAGGAGGAGGAGGAGGAGGAGGAGGAGGAGGAGGAGGAGGCGTCCGACACCCAGACCTCCGACGAGCCGGTCGCTTCCCTCGCGGAGCGCCCCCTTCGCGTCGCTGGGCGCGAAATACATGAATGGGTCACGTATTCGACGGTGGACCCCTGCTACTACCCGCCAGCCCTGGGCGGTCTGCGGCGGTCTTCTGGCGGTCTTCTGGCGGCGTTCTGGCGGTCTTTGGCGGTGTTCTGACGGTCTTCCGCGGTCTTCGTCGGTTTTCGGCGCGAAAGCTGGATTCGGGGATCTTCTGACCCGGGTCAATCCAGACCCGGGCCAGTCAGGCCTTGCAGAATCCTGCAACGTCCTGCAAGATCCTGCACCTAAGCCCGGGTCAATGCGAAAGATTCTGCAAAATCCTGCAGGATCCTGCACCCAAACCCGGGTCGATGCGACCCTGGCCCTGCAGGACCCTGCAAGATCGGGCGCTCTGGCTGATCCATGTGTGCATTGACCCCCGTCTCAAGGCTCCCGATGGACGTTACAAAGGTTTTTCATTCTTTCCGGCCTCTGGGGGCCCTCACCAGGCATCGGGACCGTCAAAAAACCGATGTTTGAGATGAAGAACCAGTGAGAGGGAATGGGTCGAGAACTCTGGCGGTCGACGCTACGAAAAAATCATGACGTCGGGGGTCTGGGCGTATGGGTCCGACCACCTCACCGATCCTGGCCGGCCCGATCCTGCACCAGTGATGGGCCTGTTTTCCACCACCACCACCATACGTTGGAGGGGGGAGGGGGAGGAGGAGGAAGAGGAGGAGGAGGAGGAGGACGAGGAGGAGAAGGAGGAAGAGGAGGAGGAGGAGGAGGAGGAGGAGATGGTGGAG